TGTTATCATTCAAGCATTACAGCAGTGGTCCACTTATGTCCAGCGTGCCATATTCCCCGGCGCCTCACCGTGCCCCCTTCAGGGGGGCCCGCCCCACTATTTGAGAAGCACTAGAGTAATGGAACAAGTCTTTTTTAATACATTTATGTGAGATGGTGACAACGATAACGTCTTAGGTCGATTATGTCGTAAACCGAGAACGAAACCCCCCCCACCCACCGTATATGTAAATAAAAGGCTAGGATGTTTAGTGTATTTTGTTTTTCAAAAATCGAAGTTTGAATTGCATGATTTCCTAAGTTGTAATGAAATCTTATAATGTTTCGAAAGGTGAAGTTATCCCTTTAATACTATCCAATGTGTCTGTTTGGCAGAGACACTGTCGGAGGAGAGGAGCCTACAGCGCTTTTTTGGACCGAGTGGAGAAGAAGCTCTCCAAAACCTGGAAAAATCACTTGTGCGTGGAACAAAGTCCTGGTTTACGTTGAAGTACTGTAAAATGAGGGAACAGTATGTGTTACTGGAGCCTGGCTTTAATTTATACCTCCGTATGTGGGGGGAGGTGGGTTGTGTGTGTGTGTGTGGGGGGGGTGATGGGACGTAAACCAGTCCACCTTAGAATTACCTCCTCGTCCTGCCTTAGAGACTTCTCCCTTTATGGTTGGAGTCTGTAGAGAAAAGAGAAGCCTCCTGACTGATCTGCCCCGCGTCTGAGACTGAATACTGGCAGGGGGTAAAAGATAAGATTGGTGATGAACCCAAACGTTGACCCCCCTGAGCGGGGACAGAAATGTTTTCACGCCTCCCTTCGACCCACACCTCGTAAATTTGAGATACTATTGAGAACCTGATAACATGTATATTTTTCATCTGTACAAACCACTGTATGAGTTGCTACCACCTAGTGACTGGAGGCTTGTTATCATTCAAGCATTACAGCAGTGGTCCACTTATGTCCAGCGTGCCATATTCCCCGGCGCCTCACCGTGCCCCCTTCAGGGGGGCCCGCCCCACTATTTGAGAAGCACTAGAGTAATGGAACAAGTCTTTTTTAATACATTTATGTGAGATGGTGACAACGATAACGTCTTAGGTCGATTATGTCGTAAACCGAGAACGAAACCCCCCCCACCCACCGTATATGTAAATAAAAGGCTAGGATGTTTAGTGTATTTTGTTTTTCAAAAATCGAAGTTTGAATTGCATGATTTCCTAAGTTGTAATGAAATCTTATAATGTTTCGAAAGGTGAAGTTATCCCTTTAATACTATCCAATGTGTCTGTTTGGCAGAGACACTGTCGGAGGAGAGGAGCCTACAGCGCTTTTTTGGACCGAGTGGAGAAGAAGCTCTCCAAAACCTGGAAAAATCACTTGTGCGTGGAACAAAGTCCTGGTTTACGTTGAAGTACTGTAAAATGAGGGAACAGTATGTGTTACTGGAGCCTGGCTTTAATTTATACCTCCGTATGTGGGGGGAGGTGGGTTGTGTGTGTGTGTGTGGGGGGGGTGATGGGACGTAAACCAGTCCACCTTAGAATTACCTCCTCGTCCTGCCTTAGAGACTTCTCCCTTTATGGTTGGAGTCTGTAGAGAAAAGAGAAGCCTCCTGACTGATCTGCCCCGCGTCTGAGACTGAATACTGGCAGGGGGTAAAAGATAAGATTGGTGATGAACCCAAACGTTGACCCCCCCTGAGCATACACACACACACACTCACACTCACACACACACACAAAGTGTTTTCCTTCGTCAAAGGAGTAAATCTTTGTCTTTTGTTGAGCTCTTGTTCAGCTCAAACCTGTTCTACTGCTGCCTTATTGTTGAGGGACTGTGTCACTGTGAGAACACATCTGAACGCAGAGGTGGAAAGTGACAAATTACATTTACTCACATTACTGTAATTGAGTATCTTGTAATTTTTTTAAGTAGTTTCAGGAATAGGTCATTTTACTTACTTTAGTATGTTTTACTAGTTTGACTTTCCCACTATTTTAATATAGCCAGATTATGTTGACTAATAGACAGACTCTAGCCCAGGCGTGGGCAAACTTTTTGTGGGCCATAATCGGTCCTAAAATTAAACAGGGGGGCCGGGTCAGGAGCAGATAGATGGAGCGTTGGTGTGAACTAAAATAAATGACATGTAAAAGTCATGCAAAAAGGCTAAAATGCTAAAACACTTTATCATTTTCTATGCCATCTATTGGGGAAAAGGCAGAAGTATAATGATAATATAAATAAATTATATAATTTGGAAAGGTTTGGCAGGCCGCATCTGGACCCCGGGCCTTAGTTTGCCCATCTCTGATCTAGCCTGTTATCCTGACTAGTCCTTTTTACATCATACAAGTAATTTAAAGTAACTTTTAGGTTTTTTACTTTTACTCAAGTAGATTTGTAGGTGGATACTTTCACTTTTACTTGAGTAGAATTTAAGCAAAGTAAAGATACTTTACGTTAACTACACTTTTTAGTACTTTTTCCACCTCTGTTTAAATGAACAAACGATTTCAAACATTCCAGTCACAGACGACACAAAGTGGCCCATTGAGTTTCCTGTTACAAATTTCCTGTCTAATTACATCATTGTATACTAAGAGTGAGTTTTTTTTTTGTACTTACTGAAATCAAATTTTCCTTGGTGTCGAGATTTGACCAACTTCAGCGGCTACGTATGTGTCAGGCTGTTTCCTGCAGCCCTGGTACTGATGTTGTTTCAGCTTCTCCAAGCTACACACTGGTCCGGGCTCCCTGCTGATGATTTAAGAAGACAATTAGGAAGACAATTTAAGATCTCAGGCCAGGGTGAATCTAATACTGGAAAGTCTGCCAACTAATAACCCTGAGTTTTCAAGATTCTTTTTAAGAGAATTAAAAAACAACCTAGCCATTTTGAGACAGCTGGTCTTACAACGGCAGAAGAGAAAAGAGACGCTGACCTGTCTGCAGATGTCAAAGGTCTCATGCTCTGATTGCCATGGAAATGGAGGCAGATTGAGGGGCAACAGTCAAGTCGTGAGAGATGTAAATCATTGAGGACCGTTAATATAACAAGCTCGGCCCCTTACCCTATTTGAGTTGCTGCAAATGAACCCCGTTCATTATTCTGCGCCTGTTCTTTTCCGTGAAGTTAATAAACTCCTAGCAGAGCAGCCTGAATATCCCCTGTCACTCTTTATGCTCATATTAAGGGAGTCACGCTGTTTTATGGTGAGAGAAGGTCAGAAGTCAGGGCACGAGGACCGAGGGAGACACCGTGGTGAAGAACACGCTTCAGTTTATGTAACGCCGCAGATTGGATTTTGCCGTCCAGTGTGACTCCAATAATCAGATTTTCAGGTCATTTCAGGATTTGGTGCCGTTAAGGAGAGACGTGTCGGACACAATCGACGAGGTGAACTGGGAATCAGGTTTAGAAATGTTTCCCACCTTGTATGTTTGGATCTGGTCTGGAAAAGTAATCATGACAGGAAGTGGTCAACACCAGTTAGCCAAGGCTAAGATTAGCCACATGATAACTAGGACTCAAACAACCAATAGTAACCAACAGAGAACGGAATCTCACACTGGATCTGAATCACATTTTCATCCTATCACTGTTTGACAGTCATAAGTCACGAGTCATTAATCCGTGCCTGTCAACATCTCGTCCCCCGTGGACCCAATGCCTACAGACTGAATAGCCACATGTGGCTCAGGAGCCACAGGTTGAAGACCTCTGAACTAACCCCAGCTTTAATTCACATTTTTAAGGCTGTACAGTTTTTCACAACTTCCTCATATGTTGCTGTTGTCGTCTTTGCACAATGTTGTTGTTTTTTTCCATTGCACAATCGACACTTTCCTCTTTTTCTTCGAACTCTGTACTCTTTTGAACTCTTCCCCCTCTGTCAGTTGTACTTGACTAGGAAAATTAATTCCAACTCTTTTGAACTCTTCCCCCTCTGTCACTTGTACTTGATCCAGGACTAGGGAAACTAATTCCGTTCATCCCATGTCAATCCCAATAAAAACACTTGAGTCTTTGAGTCCTTGAAGACAGAATGTTAGGGACTGAAGCTCTCTCATGGATTCATTCTGTGTGTTTATGTGTGAAATATACATCCATGATGAAATTTTCAGCACTAATTCAGGGTCAAATTCCAGCCCTTGATGCAGAAAATAGAAATCACACAGTACAACCGTGAAGGTTGTAATTGTAAGGCCTCACCACTAGAGTAAAACCAGGTTTAGTGAATCGTCAACACATTGTACAAAACCAGTTTCAACCATTCGCACGACACCCTCTGATTTTTAAATATCTTCAGAGGGAAGAAGAAGAAGAGCATGTTCATGACCTCAGGTTGAACTCTGGCACAGACTTCTCTGTTTGCTTCACTGGTGTGGAAATCCATTCGAGGACTGACGCTGCCGAGAGACGTTTACGTGAAAAGCAGACGGAATCTGATTTGAATTTCAATGATCGTCGCGAGAGAGCAAAGCCTGTGGTGGAAACACTGACAGTCCAGAGACAAGCTTCAACCTGTGACTGAGGAGTCGGATCGTTTGGGAGACAGACACGAAAAACATTAAGGGGAGCATTTCACTGCTCAGGAAATACAGTTCGAGATACGAGTTGAATCTGTTCCACAACAGCAACAGCCTCATGAAAAATAACTAAAAACCAAATAATTTGTTCCAGCCCCCCAGAAATATACTGTGAATTAATTACATTAAAATTCCCTCCAAAGGTTGCTTACTCATAATTCGGAAAACCCGTATTTCGTGGCACTCGTATCTTGAAGCCCCACTGTATAGCTTCATGTGGACTTCAGAAAAATCAAATGTATTGGACAACAAGGCTCAGTAATACTATACAGTACCGTCCAGTAAGTACAAATATGAAACCGTCTACTAGCAACAGTCAGACACCGTAGGTAAAACTTCACACATCTGAACTCACTATTAGGACAACAGTGCATCGAGAAGACACAAACTAACTCTAATTAGAAAATCTTGAAGAAAGGTGAGACAAATGACAACAGTCATATCAAACTCAAGGCCCCCGGGCCAAATCCGGTCCGCCTCATTTTCAACTGGCCCACCAAAGCTCAGCCTAGAACAACGGTTCTTGTGGGTTCGGCTGCAGACAAGACACGCACCCAACTCATAAGATTCGTGATGACACGCCCCCCGCTTGGCCATCACCGAAGGGTTCGGTGAATGCGCGTATGAAACTAGTGGGGTTCAGTACCTCCAAGAAGGTTAAGAACCACTGGCTTAGAATATGGGGCGAAGTCTATAATAGAGAGTCTACACCAGGGGTCGCCAACATTTCTGAAACTGAGAGCTAATTGTAACTGATTCAAAAAAGCACAGTGACAGTACAATTGTCGACCCTCTTGTTGACTAGTTTGATTTTTAGAACATACTCCACGGGCACCTTAGGTGGTTCACGGGGGCTACCAGGGGGCAATTGAGCTTCAGTGTGGTACAGAACAACTAGCCCTAGTGTGAATGCACCCTTGGACTCTACTTTAAATTTCAGCCTCTCGACACTGGCCTCTTATTCTTCTTAGCCGAACTCTTCAGAATTTTCCTCTAAACCGTTCTCCACAGAGGCCTCTCCCCTCTGTCCAGTGATAAAATAGTGCCGAGCGACAAGTCCGAGTCCGCTGCTCACTGACTTTCAACACCAGCAAGTGTAAGGCGAACATAAAGCCCCTTTGCAACCCCCCCTCCCAATCCACCCTGTAATCCCTCATCCTCCAAACAAGACCAAAGACAGATTTCACAGGCTTGTGCCTCACAAAGACCAGGCCGGAGGGGGGCTGTGGGAGGGCGGGGGAGGAGCCAGAGGGATCTTTATGGACCCCGCTTTTTGTCTGCACTCGGCTCCATTGTGGCTGCATGAGTAGGTTGCAACAGAGGTAGCCTGAGGTTCAAGGTCACAGTGGAAGTCATACAAAAGTCATTGGCAGCATCGTCTCCTCCAGACTCTCTCACACAGTCACATACATCATTTGGTCCAGACCCTGACCCTCGGTCCTCCAGGGCCAGCTGCTGATGGTGAGAGTCTCTCAGACAATACCGGGTCTGAGAGAATCATCACCTCAACAATGAACCTTATCAGATGGCATGAGCTGAGGAATGTCATCCTTGAAGTGTCTGAGTCAAATGATGTTGAGTCCTCGTCCTGTGATAGGTCCGTGGATGTGTTAGCTATTTGTCTGCGGTGACATGTTTCCTTATAACAAAACAAGTTCAGGTATTTCCTCTCTGCAATACTTTGTAATAATCTCTGCAATACCTCTCCTTTTCTTAGTTTCCACCATCTAATTTTTACCTCTGTCTTCACCAGAATACTGTTACTGTAATTGATTCGTTTTTGTGAGTGATTTGTTATTTAAGTTTTTTTTCGGAGTAGTTCATTTCAACTCAATTATTTTACTTTTCTACATTGGAAAAGAAGCCGTTACTGAGTAAAAAAATGAAGTTGCGTGGGCGTTTTACTCAAGTAGATTTTCAGATGGGTACGTTATGATCTACACCATTAGATACTTTCATTTCATTTTCAAATTTTTCTCTCCATCATCTCTGCCAGCTCTCTATCTCTGCCAGGCATTGTCCGTACGTGAAAGTCCCCACTCTGACCTCTGACCTCCTGTCTTTCCTGTTCTCACTCTCCCTCCTGATGTTGTTCTCTTCTCTTCTAGAACAGTCTTTGACCAACAGTAGTCAGACTTCCAACAGCACCCTGTGGGTTAACAGTAAGGGAGACGGCCATTGTTAACTAAAACTGAGCAATAGTCCATAAATAGCAACGCTTCAGATGGAGGAAAACAATACTGAGAAGAAAACAACAACAACAACAACATGTGCAGCTGTATTTGCTGACTGTCAGCACCTCTGTCGCTCTGTCACTGTTCTTTTGTTCTCTTCGGTTGCAAACAGAGGACTGCTCCTCCTACGTCTCCTGACAGCAGCGGTGCCGAGAGAAGGTTGTTTAAAAAAGGAGGCCCGAGGTTTGAATCCGTGGAGCGTCCTCACTGTTTGTCTCCTGTTTGACAATCAGTGACTGTTACTAACAACAGAGCTGTGCAGCCCGCTGTCCCCCTCCCTCACATTAACAGCTCCTCGTCCCTTCTCAAAGTCACAGTTAAGCAGTTTTAAGGTCAGTGTTCAAACGTTCAAAAACCTCAGTCCAGGAACTGGTACCGGGCCACAGTGAAAAAATCAACTTCAGTTAGTTCAGTACTAATTTACTTCATTCCAAAATAATCCAGTCATATCCCTTTACTTTTTTTATTTAATCTGACAATGAGTAACAGCTCTTGGTACAAAAATTTTTATCTTATTTAATCTGACAATGAGTAACAGCTAATACCGGCCGACCGGACCGTGGTACAAAAATGTTTATTTTTATTTTCAAATATTCCTCAAAAAAAAAAGTCTATCACCAAAGTAATACTGAAGTGTATTCAAACTTTAACTTTACAAAAGTAAATCAAATATTCCTCAAAAAAAAAAAAAAAGTCCATCACCAAAGTAATATTGACGTGTATTCAAACTTTAACTTTACAGAAGTAAGGTTCATGAATCCTAGAAGCCTGGCTGAACATTGGCTGAACACACTTTACTAAAGGCTCTGGAGCAGAATCACAAAGGCCACGATTCGGTCACAGATTGACATCGTGATTGACCTTCGTGTCAGAGTTGCATGACCTTTGAAAGACTCTTCCCCTCTGATCTGCTGAGGTTTCAGATTTGTCCCAGTGAAAGGGCTCAGTGCAGGCTGCTCACGCTGCAAGGTTATGGTGACAAGTTTGATCCTTGTTTTCCCTCTCTCTTTTACTGCAGTCTGCTGAGAGCGAGTGGCTTATTTACATACAAATTCCTCCCACAGGACTGCATGCCTGGGTCAGAGGAACGGAGGAGGAGTGAAGTGGAAGAGGGAGACCTGGAGGAGAGTAAAACGTTACAGGAGAATTCTCCTGGTATTTAGGAGGATCCCGAACCCTTTATCAACTGCAATCAAGGAGACGGAGGAGGCTGAGGAAAACCAGACGCTGGTCTGTGTTTCACTGTTTAAGTTCAGGTGATAAATAACAAAGACTTTTCAGGCACACACAGTAAAATACAACATGTCCCCAATCACAACTCTTAAACCTGCTCTTTTTATTATTAGAAATATAAATAAGTCATTTTTATACGTTTCTGTTACGTATCGGCTAGGCCAGGCATGAGCAAACTAAGGCCCGGGGGCCAGAAGCGGCCCGTTCAGCTTTTTAATCCAGCCCGCCAACTTTTCCAAATTATATCATTTTTTCATATTATCATTAAACTTCTGCCTTTTCCCTGCAATACCCACATTTCCCCAATAGATGGCATAGAAAATTATATGCATTTTAGCCTTTATGCATGACTTTTTACATGTCATTTATCAGGACAACTGTGGCCCGTGAGTCAAAACGTTTGCCCACGCCTGGTCTAGCCAATCCCAGGAGCAGGTGGGTTCAGTCTCAGTGATAAAGAGTGATACATACAGAGGTGAAGCTCCAGTGACGATCTCCAAAAAGTGCTGGCAGTGACCACTCAACAAGGTTCGGAAGCCAAGAATGCTAAAACACAAACATTACTAAAGTCACACGTACTTAGCCAGACCTCTGTCAACATAAACCACACTGTAGTACAGGGCTCAACACTCCAGCACTGACTCCCTGTAGAGCTGGACCTAACATCCTCTCCTGGTGATTAGAAGGAACCGCTTTCAGGTGTGCAGCTCATTAGCTCAGCTGTGAAAGAAGAGCACAGGCAGCTGACCCACAGTTACTGTCTTAAAAAAATAATGTTGATGTTTCTGGGTGACATAAAATCAACCCAATTAAAAAAAAAAACTAAAAAAAAATTTTTTTTTAATTTTTTTTTTAAAAAGAAAAGAAAAATACAGCGGGTACAGGAAGTGAAAGCATTTACAAAATTAGCTTAGCTTAGGCTAAATCTTGTATTTCATAAATGTGTATGTTTGTGAATGTAAAATGTATGTACATTGTTTGTGGCAATGAATTGAATGAGGTTTCATGTAATCTTTAGACTGTACATTTTTGATACCCCACTCTCCAAGTCAAATATTTTCCAGATTGTCTTACAGTACATGACTACCATTTCACAGTAATCAAGTACTCAATGAAGCTGATTGCATCATACCGTCTCGTACAAACACCTGTATGACACGTATACACAGTAAACAGTCTGTCGTTTAAAAAAAAAAAGATTTACTGTTTTAATGTTGTTGTTTTTAAAAAAAAGTTTCAATGTTTGTAATATTACTTCCTGCTACATTCTTATTTATTTAAAAAGAAAAAAAAGAAAACTGGATGAAAAGCTCAGCAGGATTCTACAAGCTGCTGCTGTCAGGACCTGAGGGTGAACTCCACTGTTAGGTAGGTGTTGGTTGTTGGACCGTTTTCAAGCCTCTGTGAAACAGAATTCTGTTTAAACTGAGTCACCAGATACAAACGGTGTTATGCAACAGCGGGCGTCCCTGATTAAAAAGCCACATGTGACTAAGGTCTTATATTAAGACTGAAAAAAAAAGAAAGACTTTTTTTTTTCTTTCCTCTCAAAACAAACGTTCTTCTGCAGAGGTAAACAACCACTTTTTTTGGGGGATTTTCATTCTGTTTTTTAACGCCATTGATTTATTCCTAGGTCTGGATGGCAAATATGTTATCAGGCAAATATGTTATCAATCTATCAATCAATCAATCAATCTATCTATCTATCTATCTATCGATCTATCGATCGACCGACCGACCGACCGCCCGACCGACCGACCGACCTACCTACCGACCGACCAACCTAACTACCGACCTACCGACCTACCTAACTACCTACCTACTGACCGACCGACCGACCTAGCTACCTATCTACCTACCTACCTACCTACCGACCGACCGACCGACCTAGCTACCTATCTACCTACCTACCCACCTACCTACCTACCTACTGACCGACCGACCGACCTAGCTACCTATCTACCTACCTACCTACCTACCTACCTACCGACCGACCGACTGACCGACCTACTGATATCAAGCGGGCCGTAGTGAACCTGCTACCGGGCCGGTTTTGGGCGGTGGGCTATATGTTTGACACTCCTGAATCACAATGACCTGTGGAAAGTTACTGTTACTGTGTTAACAGCTTTACAACCACTAAATGGAGCTCTGATTAACGGTCTATGGTTTCAAAACCTGTAAGAATTGAGAAACCCATAATGACATGACTTTTTTTTCTTTTTTTTTATGATTTGGGGTAGGGCTAAATGATGGCAGTAACGTGGAGTAAAATGGGACTGAGCCACAGAAACCTCTGCTGTCACAGCATTTCCTCTGAGACGCCCTGATAGCTGAGCGTTCCAACACTCTGAGGGTGTGTCGCTGCTATAAACACTCACATTATCATTAACTGTAAACTTTGACACGAGGATTTACGGTTTAGAGGCGTCACCCCGGAGCTGTTCCCTCGCTGGCTCCGCCCACTTTTGCAGCTTCAGACTTGTCTAACGACAGAACATTTTGTACCAGCGTACACGGACAAACCTGATGTATTTCTCTGATCACACGACAACAGCAGCTCCGGCTCGTGTCTGGGAAAATGATGGAAATTTCTGTGTGGATGAAAACGTGAACACGTGCACCGCAGTGCACAGTTTTCCTCAATGTTAGTGAGAACGTTTCAGTGTCAGGGTTAATGGGTTAATGGATAGAAGTGGGGCCTGAGGGAGATATGTTTCCTCTGATCCACTTTATACTGAAGAAAAAGAAGCAGAGGAGGACGATCTATGACTGTATACACATTAATGAAGCAAAATAACCATTAGTTCTGGTATATTTTGCTATGATTTCGATACCTTCTAACTAGCTAAACTAAATTAGCTATTTATTTAGTTGTTCAGAATAACCACTGCTATGAGTTAGTTTGCTACTTTGGTCGTTTCTTACTTTTTGTGGCTATTTTGATAGCTTTATGTTATTGTTCTGTATTGTATTGGTATTGTTTGGCCGCTTAAACCGACCTGAAGATATTTGACTTTTCGGATGAGTTTTGCACTTCTATTTGGTAACTTTTGGCAGTGATGCAGTTATAGGATCCATGCCAGTCACCAGAAGGCTCGTGAGTATTTTGGTAACTTCCTGTGACCATTAGGTATTTCACTTTTTGTCAGTTGTTATCTACTTACACTCAAATTGTTAAGTCAAATCTGGTCGTGTCTCAGTTTGTTTTTAAAAACTGAATCAGCAAAAGTGATGGATCAAGATTTATGGCCGGCAGAGGTGAACCATAATTCCCTTGCGACATGTTACACAGATGTGAGGAAATGACCTGACGCACAGGCACACACGCACGACTCCCGGACAGGAAATGGCCTCAGGAAAAGTGTGAACATGTCTTGACTGTTTTTCAGTTTCCTTCCTTGGAAAACAAGCACAGAAGAAGGCACCTGGGCTTCACAACACAAACACAAGATTCATTAGTGTCTGACCTCGCTGTGTGGCATTCTGGGAGCTTCGCCCTTGCGTTGTTACCACGTAACCCTGGGCTTTACGGCGGTTACAAAGGCCTGAGGGTGAAATTTTGAGGAGGTTTAGAAAACAATCCTTAAATTATTACTTGAGGACTGTTTTTGTTGTTCCCAACCCCTGGTGCGGGGACCAGTGCTGGTCCGTAGGTCATTTGGTACTGGCCTACAGTGGGACACAGTTTTACTAATTTACTTCATTCCAAAAGAATCCAGTCATATCCCTTTACCTTTTTCATTCAAAGATAATCTGACAATGTTTCAAAACAACAGGTCATTCAGACTCTGATACTAACAGAAGAAAGTCTGAAAGAGGTTTGATTTTGAAAATCCTTCGACGATGGCGCAGTATTACCAGTCATTAACAGTAACAGTCCTGCAGCAGACACAATGGCGTGAGACACACCAACAGTCATACACATATCTGGGACCAAATGGGTCCAGAAATACCGGTCAAATCCCCTGGTCCCTTCTGCCCCAGCCTGTTGTACAGGGTCTGTTTTCTTTAGACAGGCTCAGCCACATTTTCCCCTCCTGATCCTGTCTGAGCCGTACAAGCATCATCTCACTGCAGCTGGCGCTGCAACAAAAGACTTTTATTTTTTCTGTTTACTTTGAAGAGGTTTGACCACTTTATCCTGTGTCTGGCCTCATTCAGGTTCTTACCTAACTTGCAAATACTGCAGTACCGTTGCTCAGCAGTGCGTGGGAAAAAAAGGAGGCCAAGGCTTTTTTGTTCATGGCTTATAAAAAAAATACACAGCAGGGATGAAACTCTTATTCCTCCTACGAAATGTGTTTTAGAATGTGAATCCATTTGAAATGATTTGGCTGTTATCTGGCTCATATATGTTTGCTGGTCAAATGTTAGCTATCGTCATATAATGGGTAACGTTAATTGCCTTTTGACATATTCATATCATAGCATTATACAGTACATGTGTTCAAGAAAATTTAATTTCACATTTAGTTTGACTGTATTTTGGCAATTCTGGCGCAGGTTTTCACTAACTTTCTAACTGAATTATATTTTATTTATAGTTTAGCTAACAATATTGATATATACGTTAACTCAATTATAATTCTAACAAAATTTCAATTTTTTTTACTAAGTTTCAGCTCTCATTATTTTAATTACAGATCATGTCGCAATACAACTTTTCTGTATTATGTGATCAAAGATATGCTAACAAACTGAAACTGGCTTGCTAACAACAGCAAGGTTAAGTTTCTTGCGAGCGACACCTTTACAAGTTCACATATGACATGCGCTATGTCATTTTAATGAGACTTCAGTTCTGGCCGAGCTGTTGTACCAACAACGTTACGCAAGATGCTCAAAATAAAACCAAAGACTATTACCTTTCAGTAATTACAGTGTGTGTAACTGGAGCATGTTCCATTCTCACTTAAATCATGATTAACATTTACCTGCAAGAGGACACGTTGTGCTGTAAAGTCCAGGTGCCAGGTGTTAAAAATAATGAGATCCTGAAATAACATCATTAAAGATATATTCCAAACTGGTCCACGCTAATGATTTTAACCTTTACGTGGGAACCATGTATACGCATATATTACAGATTAATATAGAACAACTCAATTATATTTGAAAAAAATCCATCCAACCTGCGTGTTCTAAGCTTTAGCTAATGCTAACATTTAGCTAACTGTAACTTTTAGCAAAAACAGATATTTTTTGAATGCTTTAAAACTTCCCTGAGCTAATTTTATTAACATATCGGCTCCAAAATGCATTTTCTAATAAAATAAAATACAAATAAAATTACCAGTAATATGACATCAATAAAATAAAAATAAAAATCCTGATTCGTTTTAAATCCATACTCCAAATCGAACTGATTCAAGTTGATAAACAAAGACAAGTATTATATATACACTTTTATTGATAAAAACTTAATGCATTAAAAAAATGCCTGTCTAAGGACAATAGGTCGGCTGTGGACCACAAAGTGAACATCAGAACCTTAGTATTAAACTTTTTTTTTTAACCCAAACACAATATCCTCTATTTATAAACTGTAAACTTCATTAGAAGTGATTTTTCTAAAGTGCTTTCCATAAATCCACAGAAACAGTCAAAAGACAGCAAGCAAGTCGATGTTGTTTTATAATAATGCAATAAAGCCTGGTAATACTTTTAAAGTCCAGTGTTTAAAAAAAAAAAAAAGGTCTGTGAAGGTCTGAGAAGATTTTCCTTTTTTTTTTTTCACCTTCATCGTCTCCCAATCTAAAAACGTCTATTACATCATCATTAAACCTTCATCCAGTCTCCAGCCTTCTTCCTTTTTGGTAATACTTATTTGGACCGTTCTATAGCCTCTCTCGAAACATACACTGACCTCTGAACTCACCCACCATCTTCTCTAAAGCCTAAAGGCTGCCACTTTTTTTTTAAATCCACAAACAGAATTACGTTTAGATTAGATTAAAAAATCAAAGCCTAAAGGCTGCCACTTTTTTTTTTAAATCCACAGACAGAATTATGGTTTAGTTTAAAAAAAAAATAAATCAAAAATATCCCATGGTATGTTTTAACAATTGATCCTCCAGAGGGGGCTATATACTTAACCTGTAGTTTGTTTTAGCCAAATTGTCACCATTTCATTCCAAATGGGTACATCTGCGGTAACCAAGAAAACATTGAAAGGCACTTTCTCATTGGTCCACCAACAGTCGTCTGTGACTCTGCCACAGGTCCTGGATTTCTCAACATTCCTATCTGTGAAGAGGAGCTACTTAAGGCCCAAAAACTGGGAGTTTTTTTGTAGCTGAAAGCATATTCCATTGCACCATTTTCCGTATGTACAACTCGTCTCTGTAGAGTAACTTGTACAAGATCTTAATTATGTGCAACCATTAAAAAATCCGGTGTAAAGTCCCTTTAGTTCCCGGTACTACATCTTGTAGTTGACTGATGATTCTTGGTACTTATGTTGAAGATGCAATAATTTGTTTCTCGAACTGATTTTAATGGAACACACGTTCAATAAATTTCTCTACAGTTGTAATTTGCGGTAGAAGAAAAAATTAAACCCTTACATTTAGGGAGGTTTCAAATCTTCAAAGATTTGGTGAAAATACTTTTACCAAAAAGTGACAGCCTTCAATCTGAGCCTCACATCTTGCACTTAAATCCATATCAGTCTCCATGTAACACATGCACATCCGTCCAACAATATTCTTGTCTTCATACTGTTCCTTTACCGTTTCACTTTCTCTTTGAGAGGATCATCAGAAGCCAACGATCAGAGAGAATCCTAAAGCTCAGTTTTCTAGACTGATAAAACTCAGTATGTCCAATGTGGTCCTCCTGGGGAGGTTTACGTCCAAACAGTAGACAAATCCTTCACATAAGAATAGGACAAAAGTCAGTGACAGGAGGAGACATTTCTTTTTTTTTTTTTTTTATCTCTTTTTCTTCTGTTGCCGTAGCATCTTCCTTCTCTTCAGGATCATTTCGTGGAGTCTTTCCACTCCATCCCTGAGTCCGTCTCCAATGATTGCGCACGCCGGCTGCAGGTGCCATTGAGTAGCCGGCCCCAGCTCCTTCAAGGCCAGCAGTTTCTCCAGCTGGTCCAAACCCAGAGAGTGTCTCAAGTCCTGTTTGTTGGCCACCACCAGCAGGGGCACCCCTTGGTTCTCAGAGGTCTTGGCGATTTTGTGGAGCTCCGTTTTAGCCTCCTCCATGCGTTCGGCATCCACGGAGTCCACCACAAATATGATGCCGTCCGTGCATCGCGTGTACGACTTCCACAGTGGACGTAGTTTCTCTTGACCGCCAACGTCCCAGAAATGGAAGGTCACGGTCTTATGGCTGCCCAGAGACACTTTGACCTTCTCCGCGTTGAAACCTTTGGTAGGTACAGTGTTAACGAACTCATTGAACTGCAGCCTGTACAGAACTGTGGTCTTTCCTGCCGAGTCCAATCCAAGGATGGCGATGTGGAACGACTGGAATCCGGGGATGGTTGACAGGATGCTGCGTTGCTCTGACAGTCCATTCCCCATCTTTCCTCATGAGGAAGGATTTACAGTTTGGTTTGACGGTTATTTAAATTCCAGAAGAATTACGACCCTAAAAACACATTGCACAAGCTGTTAAAGTACAGAGTCGAAGAGAAGTACTTCACAAGTAAAACTCCAGAGCTGGATCAAAATCAGGACCACATTTGAACCGAATAAAAAGGAATTGGTCAGTTGACTGAAAAGGTCAGAAAAGATATTTGGACCTTAATCATCATGTTGGAAAAAAAACCCCTACATACTATTAAACCTTAAGGTTTAAATACTGAAGAAATTTTGAAGAAACCACCCATTGTGGGTGGTCTATTCTTTATGTCAACTTTCCTCCAACAGTTGTGGCTCTTGTCAAACGTCAACATAATCAGTCTTTATTGTTAAAACTTGAAGAGTTCCATCTCTTCACAAGGTCTTGGTAAATGTTGCTGCTTTAGTGTTGACTCTTTTTTTGACCGTAATGTTTGCACAGAGGTAAAACATTAACTTTGCCCACACAAGGTCTTGGTTTTGCTCCTGTAAAATGTGTTTAAGGACTTCTTATACAACAATTTGCCATGGTTTTAAGGTCACGTGTTTCTAAACACAATTTGTCATTTCTATTACCAAGTCCTTGAAGAAGTCTTTTTGATAACAACCTTTACAAAAGTAAATGTCTTTATCTATTTGCACTGTCTCTAACAAAGACACTGAAAGGATTTTAATTAGTCATCAGCATCATCAGCAAAAGGCTAAACCAAACGAATGCCGATGCTGTTGTGGAGGTGCTGCAGGGAGGTGTCATTAATGCCATGTTTGCTCAGCTGCCCTTAACTGGTCTAAGAAAATCACTGCCTCAAGTGTCAGAACACACACGAGGAAGTTAGCATTCAACACGTACTGCTGTGCAAGCACTGCAGAGTGTTTGCGTCAATGCAAGGTGCAACGTTAACATAGCAAACAAATCTCATCTGCATAACAACGTAGTGTTTGGATTCTCATGCAGATGAGAAGTTGTTGTTTACCCACTGCATGCTGATTCTATTAAGATTGACGAAAAAAGGAAATTAAACTTCTCGAATTAAGCTGTTCGAGTAAAACAGAAACATCTCAAATAAATTAGAAAACAACCCACCTGTCCCTCAAATTCAGAAACTAATGACTTGCATGACAATACACAAAAATGTAAATGTCAACCATCATGATCAATAGGTGGCACCAAATAGTCAGGATATAATTACAAAAAAATATATACCACATCTAGACAAAGTTGTATTAAACTACTAGACTGTTTAAATTTGTTTGGTACTAAACTTGACTTTGATGTTTTGAAGTTGTATACAGCCTGCCGTTAATTGCTATGATTTAGCTTTCACCGCTAACCTGCAGCGACATAACCAGATAATTTATTGCTCTTGTATTTTATTCGTATGTTTGGCTTTCTTTAAGCTTCACGTGCTCTATTTAGACCATTTTTGTTGTTATTTTGCTATTTTATTTCACAGCTTCTGAGCTAACTGGTATTATTATTTATCTATTAAAGTAAATCTCATTTTTTGGCCGTTTATGGCCTCAATATATTCCATATAAATTCTGGTTATTTAGAACTGTTTAAGGGGACATTTATAATCATTAAAAATTTCATTTTAATAGTGTTAGACTTCAATTATATTTGGTTACGACTTGTGTTGCAAATTTATCAGCCGCTATAAATGATTAACGGATGACTAGTTCAAAGGAACACAATGCACTGAATCATCATGACATGTGGAATTACGATTACACTGGTACATAGCATACACAGCTCTGCTTTTTACTACACGCATGTTATAAGCATTTTAATTTGTTGCAGATTAAAACATTTCAGAGTGTCTTCAATTCTTGTAATGAGCTAGCAAAAAATACATGGTTAAACATGATGAACAGGTTATCGTTGGTTTACGTACCCGTTTAACGTCTGTGTGCCGGTAAAAAACCCCGAATGCTTCGTTTAAACACCCAGCGCTCTCTTGTCTCCCAAATATCTGGAACTAAATCCGTATTTTCTCCTTCTTACTGGGTTTAGCTCGGTATAAAATCCCACTAGAGACACCGCGTATCTCCACTCCTGCAGCGTCTTCTCCTGCTTCCTCTGGCGTCTCCTCACTGGATGTGGCTGCGGCAGCAGGAAGAAGCTACTGCCGCTCACCCGCAAAACCCGCCCATAGTGATACTGCGACGAAAGGTGGTTGGTTGGTGCTGAAGCTGTTCTCTGCGCTGATTGGCTGAGAGTAACTGTCAGTCACACTCTCGCCACTGCCTGGAGGAAGTAGAAGGATCACCTGTTGCTCTGTGAAATTCTAACTCGCCTTGACACGTAATTGTTTTTGTTTTTTTTGTTTTTAAAGAAAAACAGATTGCATTTAAACTTTTAAAGGTAGACAATTCAATATATTTTTGTATTTTTATTTTTGGCTAACCTTTTTAAAGCTACATATGAAATATTTTAAGTTAACCTTTGGTTAGCAGTTATTTTTTTGCTAATTCTTTGTTAAATGGAAGTTTATTTTTAGCATTTTAGCTTTTTTCATCATTAGGGTTATGGCTTTATGAAAATTTTGGTTTTATTTTGGAGAGCTTTCTTCTTTTCCACTTACCTGAGTCTTATTATTCTTCTTAAATATAATTTTAGTTAATGCTAGTGATGCTAAAGATGTCTTATTTTTACTAGTTCAGCAACTTTTACATGGGTGTATCTTATTTATTGTCTTATTTAAGACTATATTTAGCTTTTACCTATTTTTGGTAGGCTTGTGCACTTAAAAACATCGACAACAGTAAACAATTTAAAGTGCATTTTTAGCTTAGTGATTCGGGCTGCAATTCCATGCATGTGTGTTTGTGCAGCTGCAGCACCACCCCCTGCATTGTTTATGTTTTGATTTGAAATGATTGGTCGAGTCAACAGTCAGGAAGTGCAGGATTTTGACTTCACCGCTCTAACTCTGACTCTATTCTAACCTGATTCTCCACACTGTCAGATTTGTTTGAGTTTTCACACAGGGACACAGGAGCCAGATTAACATGCAGGAGTTACTTGCATGCATGGCTGACAGGTTAAGTAGATTTTCTTCAAAATAAAATTTAGGTAATATTTTATTCACAACAAATCACATATCAGTAAATACTATAGCTGTGTGAGGGTTAATATTTATTTTTTTTAGAATATTTTTAGATGAACATCATGATAACTGTGTGAGGGTTAATATTTATTTTTTTATAATATTTTTAGATGAACATCCTGGCATGATACCTTTTTTCCTGCTGGGAAATTACAGTTGTGAACTGCTCACTCTTCTGTACCAAACTCGATCGTGGAAATCTGTGTTTTTAGTCTATGATGACAGAGAAGCAGTAATTTAACAACTACTGTTAAAACCATGTTAAATTGCTGATTTTTTTGATTAACCAACGAGAAAGAAGTAAATCAAGAGAGGATTAAATCTTCCCTGAATCTGTGTTGATAGTATTGAAGCTAAATTGAAAACCTGCCCAAAAGATGACAGCACTTCCTATAATCATCTTTTCAACTTTTAATATGTAATATGTTTAATATGTACCTTAAATGTGTTTTGTAAGAACGCTCAATAGAAGAAAGTGTTGTTGAAAAAATAAAAAAGTTCTCAACACGTGGCAGCAGATGGTGGGGATCGACATGTGGTATCATGCACTGACTGATATGTCTTTTTTTGTTTTATATTTAGTCCATGAGCAACACACACACAGTCACGTTTGACTCATTAAACACATGTGTTCCAGAGCTTACACAGAGAGGGTTCAAACATGCTCAGGCTTCACATGTCTGGGATTGTTGAAGTTCTAAAGCGGCAGCTGTCAGTGGAGCAGAGCGCTGCATGTTTGGTGTGCCATCTCAGATCATTGTGATTAAGGAATGTGAAATTGGACAGATGAGAACCTGTTTGAATGTGGCACAGATTCTCACTTTTCAAAAGTCTGTAGCAGGTATGATTTATCCAAAGGTTTTTGGAACACACGGCTGAAGTTAGCACACATGGACAACATATGGTGTCTGGTCGTATGTAGCAGAAAAGAAAAGAAACAAAATAAAAACATATATAAATGCCAAAAAAAAAGAGAAGCTTTTTGAAAGAGATGAAAAAGTAGTTGGGGCTTTTAATGCTGTAATCTGTAACTGTGTATACTTTGAACCTCATGTGGACACATTTAGAACAGCACTTCCTGTGAGATACTTTTATTTTTGTCTTTGACACCAAGTGTAAATTAGAAACAACACTGTTGCCTATATTAGCTGTGAGAAGCACTATATATAACAGGAACACGATGCTAATATTGCTAAAGCTAATATTTTACTGATGCTAAAAAACTTTAACAGGGGTGGACCAGTTGTGTAGTTCACCAGTGTTAATGCAACAAAGCAAACAGTTCTGTTATTAAACATTAAGTGCAAATTAAATCCTTTAGAACAGGAGTCCCAAACCCCCGGTCCGCGGTCAGGCACTATTGCGCCGGTCAACTGGTGCCGGGCCGCACAGAAAGAATGCACAACTTCCATTATTTTCGTTTTATTTATCTGATTCTGAACGATGTTTTATTTTGAAAAATAAAAAGGTTGGGAACCGCTGGTTTAGAACAGGCCGTTGTAATCTACTAGTACTTTTTTGCTTGAGTTCTTCTTGACAGACTGTTCACACACCTCCTTGGGTGTGATCTCATTAGAAAGAAGTGACAGTTCAGGAACAGTTAAAGCACAGTAATCTCCTCACGTCCTCAGAAGCACGTAGCGTTGATCCGTCCTTTAAGCCTCGGACTGACCTCCATTTAACTCTGACCTGCCGTGGTTAAAAGCTGTCAGACTGGTGTTGCACACTCGTTGCCCGACGTCCTTTGAGACGACATTCTCAATCTCCCACAGAATGGCTGCCTATACAAAAGTAATCAGCCGTCATTTATTTTTCGCCAGTTCATTTCGGTAGTGCATTTTTTCATACCATACACATTAATAACAATTGAAATGAATTAATTAATGATTAATTGATTTCTTTTTTTGTGTGGGTCTTGTAACCCATACAGGCTTCCACACGGGGGG